CCTTTCTCTCTGTCTCTCTCTCTCACTGTCCACTCTGCCTGTCAAAAAAAAAAAAAAAAAAAATTTCGAGACAGACACATGGAAGACTGTCAGCCAGCCCTGTCCAGATGATGGAAAACAGTCTAGAACATGCTACAGCACCATCCCAACTGCTGAGGATCAAGTATGGAAACGGTGAAAGGAACTAAAACCCAGAGATTCCCTCCAAGGCACTCACCAGGTGACCTCAGCTGTCTAAGCGGCCACGCTGGGTGCAGAGAACGGAAAACAGCCCACTTATCAGGAAACGGCTAAGCACAAAACGATCAACTCACCCCAAGAGTTGCCCAAGTGTGAGAGCAAATACACAAAGTGTCACGAACTGACCCAAGCCAGCCACCGTACAAGGAGCTCCAGGACAGGAAATCCAGCAGCACGCGGGCTCAACAGGGCTGCAGTGAAGACACGTCAGGACAATGCCGTCTTTCAATCCGATCCGACCGTTCCCAGGAACAGTCAAGAGGACAACAGCGTGCAAGACTGCTAAAGAGAGGAGGAAAAGGAATTGGGGGAAAGTTCTTGCCTGCTTTAAGAAGGGAAAACAGCTAACGATTTGTTCCAGATGTTGGGGGCTGGCACTGTGGCGGAGCGGATAAAGCCTCTGCCTACAGTACCGGTATCCCATAGGAGCGCCGGTTCGAGTCCCAGCTACTCGACTTCCGATTCAGCTCTCTACTATCGCTGGGGAGTGCAGTGGGTGATAGCCCAAGTCCTTGGGCCCCTGTACTCATGTGGGAGACCTGGATCAATCTCCCGTCTCCTTGCTTTGGATCAGCATAGCTCCAGCTGTTGTAGCCCATTGGGGAGTAACCCAGGGGATGGCAGACCTCTCTCCACCTCTCCTCCTCTCTGTAACTCTGACTTTCAAATAAGTCTTTAAAAAAATTGTAGAAGATTCATTAACAATGAAGTGTGTTAAATATAAAAATAAGATGTATGGGACTGGCGCTGTGGTGTAGCAGGTAAAGCTGCCACCTGCAGTGCTGGCATCCCACATGGGTGCCGGTTCAAGTCCCGGCTGCTCCACTTCCAATCCAGCTCTCTGCTGTGGCCTGGGAAAGCAGAATAAGATGACCCAAGTCCTTGGGTCCCTGCATGGACATGGGAGACCTGGAAGAAGCTCCTGGTTCCTGGCTTCGTATTGGCCCACCTCTGGTCGCTGCAGCCAACTGGAGAGTGAACCAGCAAATGGAAGATCTTCCCCGCCCCCCGCCTCTCCTCCTCCCTGCCTCTCTTCTGTGTAACTCTTTCAAATACTAAATTTTTTAAAAAATGTTTAATTTTTATAGCAATTGTATTTGGTTACAATAATAGAAACCTACTCAACAGTGACTCTAATTAGAGGATTATTTTTGTCCTAGATGCGGGTTATCTCTGCCTGGTGTCCAGGCCTCTTCTGCTGCTTTCCCACGCTTGTGACTGGACCCTTGTCCTCATATTCTCAAAATGGCTGCCACAGTGACAGATGTCATGTGTACATTTCAGGAAAGAACAGTAAAGGCAAAGATCCAGAAGGCCATGTTGGGCTGAGTAGCCTCCTACAGAGCTACCCCAGGGGGCCTAGCATTGTGGCGTCACTTTGAGTCCTGGCTACTCCACTGCCAATCCAGCTGGGAAAGCAGCAGAGGATGGCCTGAGTCACTCCTGGCTTCAGTCTAGCCCAGCCCTGGCCATTGTGGTCATCTGGGGAGTCAAACAGTAGATGTAAAATCTCTGTTGCTGCCTTTCAAATAATGAAAGTCAACATTAAAAAGTGGCAGCTTCCCCAGAAGAACACTCATCTCCTCCATTCATGAGGCAACCGGCAGTATGCCTCAATTCCTAAAACAGAATTCCAAACGATTCTCAGCCAATATAAATGAAAAACAAGGAAATTCCTTTAAAAAAAAAAAAGTGGAAATCACAAGATAGTATAGCATTAAATCATTCATATCCAAAATCAAAATGCATATGAACCTAGAGATAGCCTCTATTAAAACACAGAAACTAGAGCCACAGCCTGTCGTGCTGGCATCCCATATGGTCGCCGGTTCGAGACCCAGTTACTCCACTTTCAATCCAGCTCTCTGCTATGGCCTGGGAAAGCAGCAGAAGATGGCCCAACTCCTTGGGCCCCTGCACCCATGTGGGAGACCCGGAAGAAGCGCCTGGCTTCAGATGGGTGCAGCTCCAGCTGTTGCGGCCATCTGGGGAGTGAACCAGCAGATGGAGGGCCTCTATCTCTGTGAAATTCTTTAAAATAAGTAAATCACTAAAACACACAAAGACTGCTGAATCAATACCAAGTCACCAGGGCCGACGCTGTGGCATACTGGGTAAAGCCACTGCCTGCAGTGCTGGCATCCTATATGGTTGCCAGTTCAAGTCCTGGCTGCTCCACTTCCAATCCAGCTCTCTGCTATGGCCTGGGAAAGCAGTAGAAGATGGCCCAAGTCCTTGGGCCCCTGCACCACATGGGAGACCCAGAAGAGGCTCCTGGCTCCTGACTTCGGGATAGGCCCAGCTCCAGCCATTTCGGCCAATTAGAGAGTGAACCAGCGGATGGAAGATCTCTCTCCTCTCTGCTTCTCGTCCTATTTCTGTATAACTCTGGCTTTCAAATAAATCTTTTTTTAAAAAATCACCTATATTTTGTTGACAAAAGAAGAAAGTAGAAAATAAAGCAATGGATAAAGATATAGCAGAGAGAACTTCCCACTTCTGCTAGTGATATGCAGAGTACTTGGGATTCATGCTTTTGCTGAAGACAACTGGAAAGATGCAATAAAAAATTCCTGGGGCATGATAGAAAGGAAGTGGTCTGGAGGGGCAAGCCTGGCATTTGGGGACTGTCCAACACCCTCCTCTTCAAACAGCTGCTTCCCACGCCGTCCCTGTGCCACCACCCATTCCACACTGCCATCTTCCACCTGCCTCCAGTGTCCCCTGGCCCTCAGCCTCCCCCACACATTCCAGAAGCACTCCTCAGTGACTCGGGGTGACCAGGGCCTCATGCTGCACCCCCATGACCAGAACCCCATCTGCTCAGCATTCACTTTGTGGCTCCAGTCAGCTTTCAGTTGCCAAGAGTAGGCAGAAATGACACCCTGCGTCTGCAGTGGCTGCCCCGAACCATGCCTAGTGACCTGGAGGCCCTCGAGGGCGGAAGACGACACATGAACCTTGGATGGAGGCCTGGAAGGTTTTTTGGCCTATGTGTTCTGTTCTGCCTTGAGGCTAATTACTGATAACCCCATATGCTCTGCACATGGCCAGACACAAGGGAATCGGCCACAGTGAGGGAGCTTACACTGTCCCCCAATTCCACCATGCCCATCAAGGACAATCACTATTAAACTTGGTTGTATATATCTCCCTCATCCCCCTTTTTCCATACTAGAACATGTGGATAAATTTCAACAGGGGCCATATTGCTCTTCAACAAATTCAGTTTGCTTCAGTAGTACTCCCTGTGGCTCAACACAATCTTGGTTTGATGAGTTTTCCCAATTCCACACTCTCCAGTAACCACCTCCCAGAACAAGGCTGACTTCTAGTCTATGTGCTGTTCGCAAATCTCTCTTCTGGCCCTATCCTACACGCAAACCATACTTCCCAGTTATCTTACGCACACGGCAGCTTTGCCTGCTCTCGCATCTGTCAGTGGCGTCACCCTGTAGGTCGTCTTTTCTGCAAGCGCCACGCTGCTGAGACGCATCCATGTTATTCGGTACATTCGTGTGCACCTGATTCCCGAGTCTCATTCCGTCCTGTGAGTAGCCCGGACAGCCTTGTCTCCTCGCCTGCTGGCGCACCTTTCGGTGTTCCGGCTCTGACCTGCTGAACACAGCTGCTGTGAACACTCAGGCACAGGTAGTTGTAATCACACGTTTTCACACCTCATCTCCATACCTGGGAGTGGAACTGCTCATCCCAGGGAGGCTACGCATTTCACTGTCTTAGAAAGTGCCAGAGTGGTTCAAACCTTTCACACACCCCTCCCCCCGGCAGTTTGAGAGCCCCAGCTGTTCTCTAGCTGTGCCAGGATTTAGCGCCCCCAGTGCTGCCTATGCTAGCCATGGGTAGGGGGTCTATGGTGATCTCTTGGGTTTTCCTTTCCATCGCCCTCGGGACTAAGGGGCCGGGCGTCCTTCGTGGGCTTCTTAGTAGTTCTCAAATCTTCCTCTGTGAGGCACCTGTTTAAGAATTTTACTGCAAACATTCTTCCTCGTCTATATTTGATCCCACTGTTTAACTGAAATCTATGTGATTAATGATTAAGTTCTGTCAATAGGTGTTTGTCTCAATTTCATGCTTGCACTCACGTGACTGCAATGCCTGGCTGCACACCTCTGTGCCGATGAGCCTGGGTTTCCAGTATTTGCAGCTAAATGCTGGGCATTTCCTCAGACAAGAACAGATGAGAGCGTCCACATTTTTACTAATAAGATGGTCATCACCGGGCGCCGTGGTGCCTGAGTCATAGGAGTGGAGAAGACATCATCGCGTTCTCCCCTCCTCCACTCTTCCTGCCAGGGCCCTGGCCACAGGGGTCCAGACCCGAGCTTGATGGAGCCAGGTAGCCCCGAACTAAGGACAACTTAGGGGACCTGAACCACCATAAGCATTCAATGTTATGTAAGAGACGGCCAGTTCCCCCAGAGCTGCAGGCCGGGGAGGGTGCACGTCCACAGTTACTCAGGATCTGAGCCCAAAGCCTAGGTCTCGGGGCAACAGAGAGGTGGGTGGGTGGCGGGTGACACCCAGCTGCACCAGGAACAACCTGGCCACTCTTCCTGATCACAGGTCAGTTCTGCGGAACTGCCCTGGTTTGTGCTGTGACCCTCTTGAAATACTGCACTACATCCCTTAAAACATGTAGGTTACTCACACGGGCTCAAACATTTTAGAAATCCATTTACAATGAATACTTTCTGAGCTAAGAACAGAACAATGATGCTGACACCGTGTTAACTACACAGAAACCGAAGCCTGAGAAGATCGAGAAAGCACCAGCGCCTCCTCCACCTCCGAAGCCAAAGGTAGGCAGCACAGCCTCCCAGGTGGGGGCGGCCCCACCCCCAACAGCTCTGACCTGTGTCACCCAGCAGTGGTGACTCCCTTCTCCATGGCCCATAGCATGGACGGCCATGTCGGTCACTGTCCAGACCAGGACACACGTGTCAGGGAAAGGGGGTGCTGTTAATGCCTACTGCAGAGCAGCCGCCCTCAAGAAGGATGTCCCGGCCAACCGGGACAAGCGTGTGTCCTGTGTAGCGCTGGAGTGAGTGGGGACTGACTCTTCCCGGGCTTGCTCCTCCCGTTTGCTTCTCAGCCCGGAACTGAGGCACACAGATGGGGGCGGAGGGTGGAGAGAAACCCCAGTGAGGAGCAGACACTGCCTAGGTGGGGAGGGCAGTTTAGGGAACACATGACCTGATCAAACTCACAGCTCGAAATCTGTGCACATGTGTGCACATATGTGTGGACAGATGTGTGCATTCACTGAAGGTTAAGGGGATGAGAGCAAGAAGTGAACACGAGGAATGGGGCATAAGGGTGCTGCTTCTGTGGCAGGCGGGAGCTCTGAAGGGAGGGTCAAGGACCCCAGGTAGGAGGGCAGGCCCTGGTGGAGCAAGGTACTTGCTCTAGACTGGCCTGTCAGGTCCCTGGAAAATCCAGGTGAGGAAGCCAGGGCTGGTGTAGCTGTTGGAGATGAGCACACGGGCACTGAGAGGTCAGGGTGTCTGTCCACTGTCCGCCCAACACGGCAGGGAGAGTCAGAGGACGAGCCCTGACCTGGACTCCCGGGTCCAGCGTTGCCCTTTCCGCTGCTCCTGAACCTTATGTCCAAGGATGCAGCTTTGCTAGCAGATGGGGCCCCTTCCTGGGACATCCTGGCTCTAGGGTGGGTCGAGAGTGTTTGAGTGTCCTGTCTTTTCCTTGCAACTCTCTTCCCTGCCAAAATGAAGCCACTGCCCCCTAATGCTGCGGCGCTAAGCACCAAGATCCAGGCGTGGTGGCGCGGCACGCTGCTTCGTCGCACGCTCCTGCACGCGGCGCTCAGAGCCTGGGTCATTCAGTGCTGGTGGAGGAAGCTGCGGCAGAGGCACGTGGAGAGGAACCGACAGGCGCTGCTGGATTTCTACTTGTGGCAGACGCGGGCAGCTGTCAGGCTGCAGACCTGGTACCGCATGTGGTGCATCCGAAGGCGATACTGCACCGTGCTGAACGCTGTCCACATCATCCAGGGTTGCTGGCGCTATCATAAAAGCCAGACTCGTTACTTCTTCAGGGGCGTCTATGAGATCACAGCAAGCCAGCTAAAACTCCAGCTGGACATGGCTTTTGGACCTCAAATCTGTCGGATTACAGATAGCATCCCCTTCCCAATAAAGGACTGACCAGGTCTGCTCCAACCACGTGTCACTGCGTCTCTGTTTCACAAGCTCCAGACGTCGTCGTCTCCACAAAGGGTCAGGGAAAATGGTGGCAGCCATGGGACATCTCCCAGGTCAGCTCTGTGCTCAGAGGGTTGTCTGGGGTCCCGCAGCAGGAGCTGAGGGCCCTGTGCTAGTAGAGCAGCACCTGTGATTGATTAGCAATGTCTGCCACGCGCAGAGGGCTGGGACCAGAGGGCTGCCAAGACAGCCAGCTCCCGGGACTCACTGCCCTGTGCTCCACGAACATGGTGCCCCTGGGAGCCCTGGGCCATCCTTCACTCTGGAAACCCCTCCTCGTGTTCTACGTAACTCCGCCCAGTCTGGCCGTGGCCCTGGCCCTCTCCCGGTGTCCTCCCTGGCTAATCTATTGTTTACCCAACATCCCACATGCTTTCCTTCTGGGAACTCGAAGGCTGGCTTCTTCTAGAGGGAGCGCTCACTGTGCTCAGGTTTCTCTCTGCGCCACTGCTCCCTCCCCCGGGCCTTCTTTCTCCACCTGATCTGAGCAGCTTTGCCTCCCATCTCACCCTGGGCCCTGACTCTGCTCGCCTGCTGCTCAGGTCCTAGTCCCTCCCACTGGAGGGTGAGCGCCAGGACAGCAGGACTCCGGGGCCAGTGTGGTGGGAGCGGATGGTAGGAAGGGGAGCAGCAGGTGCACGTTCTTTTGAGCCTCCCACAAGAATCGGAGCACAGCTCACACAGTTGAGTGTAACCACTAAGGTGTTTGACAGTAAGAGAAAGTACCCCGCTTCAGAGAGCAGAAGCCAAAAATCACAGCTTCCGCTGGGGCTGAGACTCGAGGTCTCGAAGCTAAGGAAGGGCAGCTGTGATTCTGTAAGACTCGGTCCTGGGCCAGGGGCCCCGAGTGTGGTTTTGAAGTCACGCAGTGTGTAGGCCACGTGGCTACTGTCATAAGAGTTCCCGAGCTTGCCACCTGTTTCTCTCAGCTTCCCCGGTGAGCCCTTTCTCTCTCTGCTGCCTCAGACGAGGTCAGAGCTTTGAAATCTGCCTTTCGCAGTTGCCCCAGTTAACTCTCAGTCGTCTCCTGCTTCACCAGTACCTAGAACAGTGCTGGTTCCCAGTGGTTCGCTCCCCCTATAAATACATAAATACTTAGAAATGCAAACCAACCAGTCCAGACCTACACTTCCTCCCCTGGCCCTTACACCCAGTAAAGGATTGGCGGCCCCTTTCCCTCCTCCCTCTGTGGAGATCCTAGGTGCCAAACCACCCCTCCTGTCTCCTGGCAATAAAGATAGCAAAGCAGATCAGCCACACAGAGCATCTTGTGAAACAGCGAAGGGGGAAGGCCCCTGAGGCTTCAGGGAGACACCCACTCTTCCCCAGCCGCCTCCTACGCCTCCCCACATGGCACATTCCCTACTAACCGGATAAAACTCTGAGTCCCAAATGCACCCTGCGCAGTCCCTTCCCAAGAACAGAGTGTCGTCAATACGCAACCTGTCTCTACTGAGGTCTGTCTCCGTCTCCTTTTCCCGTCTCTCCTTCTGGGGGTACAAAAGACCGGAACCCTGAGCTATTCTGGACCTAACATTTAGTGGCCCATACAGGGAACAGGTCTTTTTGTGTCTTAACCCCCTCTCCCTCCCTCTGAACGGTTCTCCTTTCCGTGGCAACTGGGGGGAGGACCACGAAATGACTGTTGCGCATCCGGCTCTCCGTGGTAACCGGCACATCCAGGGGGAACCACCGACTGATCTGCTCCGGTGATGCTGAAGCCCAGCCTGACCCACCTGCCCTTTCCTATCGCCTCTATGTTCCTGTAAGACAAAGACTGGATGCGAGGGACTGGGAATAGCCTGGTGGATGACTGACAGCCTCTGGCCAGGCCGACAAAACGGTGGACCTGAACTTTCCCAGGTGAAAACCAGGCCTCGAATGCCCGAGTAGGTATCCCAGAGTCATTCCCTTTTCTCATGTTTCGGATTGCCTCGGCGAGCCGAGAGCTGCCTTGGCCCTAAGCCTTTGCCTCTCCCCTAGCCCGTCCATGCCCTCCTGCTGGGCTCGCTGGTAGCCAGTGTAAACCGGCCCCTCAGATTTTCATCTTCTCTCCCTTCCTTCCTATTAAGCAGGCCTCCAGAGTAGGGGCATTTTGCATTCGACCAAATTACAACCAGCACCCAGAGGATTAAAAAAGGATAAATATTTAATAAAATTTTACAGGTACTTCCTAAAATATGGTGTGGAGTCTTCTTGTTGATTAATAAATTTTATAATTTTAACCATGGCTGGGGCCGGCGCTGTGGCGCAGTGAGTTAACGCCCTGGCCTGAAGTGCCGGCATTCCATATGGGCACCGGTTCTAGTCCCGGCTGCTCCACTTCCCATCCAGCTCTCTGCTATGGCCTGGGAAAGCCCCAGAAGATGGCCCAAGTCCTTGGGCCCCTGTACCTGCATGGGAGACCTGGAAGAAGCTCCTGGCTCCTGGCTTCGAATCAGCACAGCTCTGGCCGTTGTGGCCAATTGGGGTGTGAACCAGCAGATTGAAGACCTCTCTCTCTCTCTCTTTCTCTGCCTCTCCTCTCTCTGTGTAACTCTGACTTGAAAATAAATAAGTAAATCTTTAAAAAAATAATTTTAACCATGGCTACTTAAAGCCTTTTGTCATTTACAGTTTTGTATTTTCCTCTCAACACTAAAAATCTGATTTACTGCTCATAAAAATTAAAACATTGTTGGTTCTGTGTTTAAATATGTCCTCTTTTAGGTTCCAAAGGACTTTTTCCTAACCTTTATTGTATTTAGTACTTTGAGACATCTCTAGAAGTAGATAAAGCCCAAGTTTAACAGGTTCCAATTTAAAAAGTATGGTTCATTCAGGTTACTAAAAACAAAGCAATTCTTATTAATTGGTAATTTAAAAAAGTAAAAGATCTTAAAAAGCTATTACTGAGACTGCTTTGTTGTTCTATCCTGTAATATATGTTGTGTTATATGTGTACATATTATATGTCTACATAAAAAATTAAGAGCTCTGTTTTAATTGGTTCATAAATAAAATATTGTTCATAAATTTAAACTACTAAGTTAACCCAAAATATATTTTTGGTTCATGTGACCTAAATAAACTTCTGTATCAGGTGTTTTAAACTTGGTGGTACAGAGACACCAAAAATGATTTTTTTAAGTCACTGACATGTTCATGCTTGGGTTTGCTGGTCAATAAGTTACACTTGTGCTAGATATTAAGAAATATTTCCAATTACAGGTACTCTTATAATTTATAAAAGAAATTAGACTTTTTGGTAAATACTTTCATAAGTTATTATTTAACAGTTAAAATTGCTTACTAAGTTTTCACTTAATATTAAATTGTTGAAAGTCAGCAACCTAAAAAGGCTGTATTCTCAAGATGAGAAACTGATTCTATTCTAAATTCTCCATCAGGATATACAGTTTGATCTTCAAACCTTATAAAAGAATTGGCTAACACTGTTCTGCAGTTAGTTACGCCTGGCCACATGTAACAGCTAGATTTATTTTGCCATGGATACAATAAACAGGCAAAACCTCCCTTTTCAAGCCAAACAAACGGAGAGATACAGTCTTACTAACTGGTTCAAAACAGTTGGATAAGGTGGGCTTCATGTTTGATCTTATATAACTCTCCTCATGAGCATCATTTTATTTCACACACACACGAAATTGTCAGAACATGCCTGCGACAACACATTTCTAGCCCAGGCCACCGAAGATTAGTGACAGGATTGAACGCCCCCTTGGCTAACATCCTAAAGGCCTCCTCTGTGATCTACTTTAACAAATACCAGAAAATAGAGGAGTGAGCTGGACAACAGGAGCAATGTAAGGACAGGTGACAGCCAATGAATAACAGCTTTACACAGTGACCTGCCATCAAGGAGACCCAACAAGGCCAGTCTGCCCTAAATGACACTGGTTTTTGATGTGAAAAGCCAGGGCTTCGGAGACAGAAGCCAGCCTCTAAACAGCCCTGTCAGCTCTGCCAGCCAAGAGCTGGGCCGCTGAAAACAGAACTGCCTTGGAGTCGAAGGGCTCCTAGGTCAGAGCCGCAGGCCTTCTGGCTGTAAGCTTAAAAGCCCTTCACTCTGCCCAGCTTCCACAGTAACCACCATCAGGGGGACAGCCTAGGGTCAGCAACACTGCAGGCCGAGCTGGAGACTGGCGTTTAGAGATCCTGCCTATTCTGTACTGGCCTCCTGTTCAGGCCAGCTCGGCACCAGGAGTCAACAGGGTGCCTGTCCTAGGAGGTTCGCACCTCCCTTAAGATGTCCCTTCCAGTACCCCATGTAATCACCAAGCTCCTCCTGTCAGTTTCTGTTTACCTCTAAGTAAAAAAACTCCCTCCTGGTTTGGACAGCACCTTTCATAGGTCCTCTAATAATGACTCTGTCCTTTGTTTCAGACCCTGTATTTACTCTGCTTGTTAGATTTGTTTTCTCCACATTTAAAGCAGTACAACTCTAGATGGCCATGCACATAAAACCTTGGATAAAAGCAGTCCCTGCAAGCTGACGCTGCAGCCCCCTGGAGAGGCCACCTCCTGATGGACCCTTGTAGTTTGACTGCCATTCCCCACTCCACACCCTAAGAGGCCCCCAGGACAACGACCCCTGTCAGCAGGAAGTAGCTAAGAGGAGGCTGATGCCCTGGGTCCCTACAATAGTACGATGTGGGTTAATAGATGGGGAGGACTGGGGCCCTCTGGTTGGGCTAAGAAGTGTCTGTGGGCCCCTCAGGCTTTAACAAAATGTCTTGGCCGGCGCCGTTGTAGCTCAATAGGCTAATCCTCCGCCTGTGGCATCAGCACACCGGGTTCTAGTCCTGGTCGGGGCGCTGGATTCTGTCTGGGTTGCTCCTCTTCCAGTCTAGCTCTCTGCTGTGGCGCGGGAGTGCAGTGGAAGATGGCCCAAGTGCTTGGGCCCTGCACCCCATGGGAGACCAGGAAAAGCACCTGGCTCCTGGCTTCAGATCAGC